ATTGGGATCAGGTTTAAGAGGCTTGGAGGAAAAAAGGTCAGTTGGAGAATGAACTGAAGGTCACAGACTATCAACAGAGGTAAGATAAAGCCAGCAGAAGGGCTGTGTTCGGGTTCTTGCCGTAGTGATAATACAGCGTGTGGCCTTGGGCAAGTCGCTTTTGCTCTCTGACACCAGTGTCTGCGCTGGCAGAGTAAGAGGGGTGAACTAAATGAGCTCAAAATCTTAGATATTACCAGTTCCAACCTTCTGCATTTGCCAAAATCCCTTTCCTAAAGGGTGTTGCTTCACCACCACCACCCCCATTTTTATAGGCATCCTCATTAGTAAAACAAGATACATATCCATACTCACTAGTTCTCAGTTTCCTCACTCGGGAAATAATCCCTACTGGACAGGGTTGTTGGGAAGAACCAGTTTCCATTTGACACAGTGCTAATGGGTTCAGTCAGACTGGGTTTGTTTAGGCAGAGACACACGCACACATACAAATGTTTAAAATCAAGGAAGACTGATTTTGAAGATACACCTACCCAGTTATAAGTGACTATCTTCACAGTGCCACTTGAAAACATGCTGATTTATGGGTTACTCATTATTCCCTGCAGCTGTAGTTATTACCAGTGCCTGCCTGTGGCTGTAACACATCTATGTGTGTGGGCAGTGCCTGGGTACCGTCTAGGGTGAACGGTCCAGGGCAGGGAGTCTCATTTGTATTCAAAGAAGACATTACATCGTTCTGTAAATTCCACCTGCTTCCAAACCATTTATTAGACTCCTATACTTGACGGGTTCACGTAGATTGGAAAAAAAAAAAAATTCATAGCAAGAATCTTTGTCTTGCTAATCCCGCCCCAAAGAAATAATCCTAAAGAACTTTCTACTTCCATAGAAATGTCTGTAATAATCACCACGACCACCACAGCCAGTCTGGAAACCTAAATGTCTAACACTTGGAACATAATTGAGCAAATTATCAAACCAATAGAATACAAATGATAATTACAAAGGTTAACAATGTGGGGAAATGATTGAAAGAAATTGCAGGTGTACACTGTGATTATAACTATGTAAAAAGATGTCAAAATAGTCAACCTTAAAAAAGAAATTCTGACATGGATGAACTTTGAGGACATCATGCTAAGTGAAATAAGCCAGTCATAAGAAGACAAACACTGTATGGCTTCACTTATATGAGGGACCTAGGATAGTCAAAATCATAGAGAAAGAAAGTAGAAGGGTGGTTGCCAGGGGCTTGGGGGACGGGGAAATGGGGAATTATTGTTTAATGAGCATAGAATTTTGGTTTTACAAGAAGAGTAATTCTGGAGATCGGCGTTGGTGATGGTTACACAACATATGGATGTGTTTTATACCACTGAAATGTACACTTAAAAATGATTAAGATGGTAAATTGTATATTATGTGTATTTTACCACAACAAAAAAGTCTCCGAGTAGGCAAAATATGGAAAAATAGCATGCAAAAATAAGTAGCTGTGTTAGCATTGTGTTGTTACAAGCGTTATTTGAATCTTTTCCTTTAACATTGTGATACTGCTTTTGTAACACAAATGTTACAGAAAAAGTCAAGGAAGAAAATTCGAGTTATTTCGATATTTGTTATTTGCCCAAAGAAAAGCACCTGAGTAGTCTTGGGGAAAATCAGAAACTTATTTAACATCCTTGAACTTATTTTATAATTTACTATTGTTTAAAATCTTTTTTTTTTTTCCATTACAGATCATCGGGGGCCTGTAATCTTTTCAGTACTTAGTGCTTCTAAAAGTTTTAAGCTGGTCTCGGGTGCAGTTAATTCAGTTTTAAGTGAGAATCACACTGGGATGGCCCCTGGGCCCTGCAGCTCTGCTGCCAGCCCATCTGTGTGGTAACATGAGCTTTGTCCTCCTTACCAGCTAATTCCACTTTCATTAAAATTCCTCTCTATGGACCTGGGATAATGGTCATGGTTCTGCCTTTCAGCTCCAGAGCAAGGATTTTTTTTTTTTCCTGTGAGCAATTAGTTACTGGAAATAGATGTGTAACACCTGGAAGTGGATGAAAACACCAGTGAGCCAAATGCTCCTTCCCAGTTGGGCAGCTGAAAGGGACACCTGGCAAAGGCTGGAGGGCCTGGCTGCCGGCTCCCGCTCTGCTCTTACTGTGCAGTGAAGACCTGGATGTGCCTCCCTCTGTTCAGTGAGTGACACTTAAATGGTAGGGCTCTTTGGTAAGAATGATGACAACTAACAGCTATGCTTTTCACCGACGGAGCCAGGATATTGCAGGAAGCTTGATGCTGAATGTTTTTAGACTTGACTTTGAGAACTTCCAGTCCCATATTTGACCTTGTTGGGAAGTTCCCTAAGCCTAAGAGTGTAAAGAGGACACCTGGGGGTGCCATTGTGAGCAGAAATGAGAAACGTTGGTTTAATGATATTGTATATTGAGCACTGACCCTGCACTGGGCATTGTGCTAACTGCTTTTCATGCTTCAGCTCATTTAATCCTCACAACAACCCTGGGAGTCAGTACTCTGGGATTCCTATTTTTCAAGGAGGAAATTGAGATTCTGACAGTCTTAAGATGTGGCCCAAAGCCCCACAGTGATTTGACATGGCTTATTTTAGTAAGTTCCAAATCAGCAAGGACAAGCCATAAATGTAGTTCTGAAATACAGGAGCTGTAGTTTCTCTCCCTAAATCAACTCACAGTTCCTGTGGAAAGAAATAGTCATATCCTAAGTTTGTGGAATTCCTTTATTTCCCCAAATTTTCTGTTATCTTTTTCTTAATTAGGATAAGTCTCCACTTCTCTGCACAGAAGCTCACCTGTGGGTAATGGTGGACTTTAGTGAATTAGGAGCCTGATTTTACGTTTATAAGAAAAATAGAAAATCTGTCATTTACCATCTAAAAGACTAAAGTATTTCCAAGTTAGAATTTAAGCCAATAACACACAAATTCAATTTCCCTTAGAGGCAGCAGTTTTAATTTTGATAGTCTCTAAAAGCAGTAATATTTGGTAGTTTCTGGATACATTTTAGACTCTCAAAAGTTTAGTTGTAGCAGCTTAATAAAGTATGAATTTGTCAGCTGAGAAGTGTGGTTCTCTCACTCGGCAAGCCTGAAGTCTGAAGCACCCTTGACCAGTGCTCATTCCTTTGTGCTTTCTGGGCATATCTGCTGCCCAGAATCTCTGCTAGAGAGTTGCTGCCTCAGGGGCTATTAGGCAAATACCCAAATCTGGGGGTGTGGGCAGAGTGGGTAGGAGCCGCCAAAGCAGTGCCTTAGGGGAATGGCCCCCATGTGCTGAGTGACTGTTACAGGATTTTCCCCCTAACTTTCAGGATCAACTTCCTGAATTGTACCCTTCCTAACCGGGGCTGCTGTATAAAGTCAGGCTGGACTTCTGAGAACTCCAAGGTACTGCTGGAGTGCCCCGTCACCCCTGCCCCTCTCATGCTTGGCCCCTGTCAGCTCGGTGCCTCTTGCCACAGTGGGTCCAGGCCCACCTCTGTCCTCCCCTTGGCAGTGAACAGCCGAGGAAGATAGATAGTGGACGTCAAACCCGGCCTGCCAGGGCCCATCATGGCACGGTGCTGAGGGATTGAGGTTCGGCCATGCCAGCGTACCCTGGCCCCAGCCACTGGGGACTCAAGTTATTCCCTCTGAGAAGCCACCTGTGTGGATCGGGTGGTCAAATGGAGAGGGCTCAGATGCTTCCTCTGCTTTTTTCGGTCCCTTGGTGGGTAGAGAGGCCTGCGAAGCATCACACTGAGGATGCCTCTTGCCTTCCCTCATCAGGCTTTCCTCATAGCATGTCACCCCCAGGGCCCCACCCCATGCAGTAAGTGCCTCTGAAGGGGTCACAGTGTGCTTGCCAGGCCGAGTCCCTTTTTAAAAATCCCAGACTCGGGCAGTTAGAAAAAAATGGGTGTTTTCAGTATTTTACTAACAAATGAATTGGCAAAAGAACAAGTTCTCTGGTGAAACCTTCCCCTTTCCCCCATTTAGCATCCACCAGGTGCCCGCCATGGTGGCAGGGGTCTGACGTGCTCGCTGGGTTCTCAGCGGCTTGCCTTGCCTCCAACTCAGTCACTCGCACAACTGCTCAGGGGCAGGAAGAGACTTCCCTTCCTCAAAAGGGCAAGAGAGAGAGAGAGAGAGAAGCTCCTCTTTGGATGCCAGAGCCACATGGGCAAGCCAGGCCTTATTCCTTTTGAAGGACGGCGCTCATTATTCTTCCTGGGACAGAGAACCTCTGCCCACAGCATCAGTCTTCTGAAGGTCAGCCCCGACCCACGAAAGCCCTGAGTGGAGCCTCAGCATTACGAAGGCATCGTCCTGTCCCTCAGACTGGCTAAGAGGAGGGCATCCTGCGATCTTTGTCAGCAGACGGTGAGACTCCAGGACTAAGACGTAAGCCCATGGCGGGTCCTTCCTTTGGCACCAAGTCCCTACAGAACCTTGGATGAGTCAAATCCCCACACTGTACCCCCCCCTCAGTATCCACAGCTGTGAAGTGGGAATAATATCAACACATGGGGAAGTACTGAGGAGGAAGAGAACATTGCAGGTAAAACACTTTTGTTCGTTGAGCACCTCTTCCCCAAGAAGCATGGCACCAACTTTGCACCATGTCCCCAACTCTTCACTGAATGCGGCAGTGCCCGACTCACTCTCCCTGGTCTTTGGGCAGGCGTTTCTATGAGCTCAAAGTCTCATTCCTCTAATTTCAGATTAAAATAATCATGCATTAACATCTCTTCAGAGTATGTTTACAGTCACTAAAACGGCTCATACTTTTCCTGCAGAATTGTAACAGCTACTCAGGGACTCTGCCAATCAGAGTGCCCACACGGAGCTCGTTTTGCACCACCACGAAGGCAGGAATCCTGGAAGTTCCACCTCGGCAGACACTGGATGTTTCAGACATCCAAGACAGGCAACTGCACAGAGTCACCCCCAGGGCCAAGACCCACCCACAGGAAAGCATCCCCTCAGAAACAGACAATCCGCTTCTCGCCTTCAAAGACTTTGGCCTCCTCTGGCTTTATCAAGTTTCCATTTAAGCTGTTGGAGAAAAACAAAGAACACAAGTAAGTGTGAGAGACTACTGTATGCTCCTTCCCATTATGTGTTCCTAACACACTCTTGTGCTTCGCATAACCCTGAAATTAAGGAACAATCTGTCCAATACTTTTTACTTTTTTAAAATTGAAGTATAGTTGATTTATAGTATTGTGTTAATTTCAGGTGTAGCATGGTGATTCGGTATTTCTGCAGATAATATTCTGTTATAGGTTATTACAAGATAATGGGTATAATTCCCTGCGCTATACAGGATATTCTTGTTTGTCTATTTTATATATAGTAATTTGTATCTGTTAATCCCATACCCCTGATTTGTCCCTCTCCCCTTTGGTAACTACAAGTTTATTTTCTATATCTGTGAGTCTATTTGTTTTGCATATACAAGCATTTGTATTATTTTTAGATTCCACATGTAACTGATATATAGTATTTGTCTTTCTTCCTCTGACTTATTTCACTTAGCATAATTTTCTCTAGATCCATCCACGTTGCTGTAAATTGTAATATTTCATTCTTTTTTATGGCTGAGTAATATTCCATTGTGTGTGTGTGTGTGTGTGTGTGTTTGTGTGTATCACATATTAATCCAATCATCTGTTGATGGGCACTTGGGTTGCTTCCGTCTTGGCTATTGTAAATAGTGCTGCTTTGAACACTGAGGTGCATGTATCTTTTCAAATTGGTGGTGTAGTTTTTTGTGGATATATACCCAGGAGTGGAATTGCTAAATCATATGGTAGTTCTATTGTTATTTTTTTTAAGGAACCTCCACACTGTTTTCCATAGTGGCTGCACCAATTTACATTCCCACCAACAGTGTACAAGGGTTCCCTTTTTTCTACATCCTTTCCAGGATTATTTGTAGACTTTTTGATGATAGCTATTCTAATAGGTGTGAAGTGATACCTCATTGTGGTTTTGATTTGCATTTTCTAATAATTAGCGATGCTGAGCACCTTTTCATATGCCTGTTGGCCATCTGTAAGTCTTCTCTGGTAAAATGTCTATTCAGATCGTCTACCCACTTTTTAATTGGGCTTTTTCTTTTGTGTTAAATTGTATGAGCTGTTTGTATATTCTGGACATTAACCCCTTGTTGATTGCATCATTTGCAAATATTTTCTCCCATTATGTAGGTTGTCTTTTCATTTTGTCGATGGTTTCCTTTATGGTGCAAAAGCTTTTAAGTTTAATTAGATCCCATTTGTTTAATTTTGCTTTTATTCCTTTCACCTTAGGAGACTGACCCAAGAGAAAATATTGCTATGATTGATGTTAAAGAGTGTTCCCCCTATGTTCTCTCCTTGGAACTTTATGGTTTCCAGTCTTACATTTAGGTCTCTAAACCATTTTGAGTTTATTTTTGTATATGATGTGAGGGAATGTTCTCATTGTTTTACATGTAGCTGAACAGTTTTATCAGTATCACTTGTTTAACAAGTATCACTTGTTATCAGTATCACTTTATCAGTGTCTTTTCTTTTCTCCATTGTACTGTATATTCTTACCTCCTTTAGTTGTAGATTAATTTACCATAGGTGCATGGGTTTGTTTCTGGGCTCTGTTCTGTTCCACTCATCTGTCTGTTTTTGTGCTGATACCATGCTGTTTTGATTACTGTGGCTTTGTAGTATAGTCTGAAATCCAGGAGGGTTAGACCTCCAAATTTGTTCTTTTTTCTCAGGATTGCTTTGGCAATTCAGGGTCTATTGTGGTTCCATATAAATTTTAGGATTATTTGTTCTAGTTCTGTGAAAAGTATCATGGGTATTTTTATAGGGATTGTATTAAATCTGTAGATTGCTTTGGGCAGTATGGCCATTTTAATATTTGTTCTTCCAATCCAAGAGCATGGGATATCTTTCCATTTGTTTGAATCACCTTCAATTTCCATCATCAGTGTTCTATAGAGTATAGGTCTTTCACCTCCTTGGTTTATTCCTAGGTATTTTATTTTTCTGACATGATTTTAAATGGGATTTCTAAAACTTTTCTCTTTCTAATATTTCATCATCAGTGTTACAAAAACACAGCCTATTTCTATATATTAATCTTGTATACTTCCACTTTGCTGAATTCATTTAGTAGTTGTAATAGTTTTTGTGGGGAGACTTTAGGGTTTTCTACATAGTATGTCATCTGCAAATAGTGACAATTTCACCTCTTCCCTTTCAATTTGGATACCTTTTATTTCTTTTTTTTTGTCTGACTGATGTGGCTAGGACTTCCAATGCTATTTTAAATCAAAGTGGTGAGAGTGGACATCTTTGTCTTGTTCCTGAATTTAGCAGAAAGGCTTTCAGCTTTTCACCATTGAGTATTATACTGGCTGTGGGTTTGTCATAAATGAACTTCATGATGTTGAAATATGTTCCCTCTATACCCACCCACTTTGATGAGAGTTTTTACCATGAATGGATGTTGAATCTTGTCAAGTGCTTTTCCTGTGTCTGTTGAGATGATCATGTGGTTTCTTTTATCTTTCCTTTCGTTAATGTGGTGTATCACTGATTGATTTGCATATGTTGACCCATCCTTGCGTCCTGGAATAAATTCAGTTTATCATGGTGTATGATCCTTTTTATGTATTGTTGGATTTAGTTTGCTAATATTTTGTTGAGGATTTTTGCATTTATATCAAAAATATTGGCCTGTAGTTTTCATTTTTGTAGTGTCGTCTGGTTTTGATATCAGGGTAATAGTGACCTAGAAAGAATTTGGGAGTGTTCCCTCTTCAATTTTTTGAAATAGTTTAAGAAGGATAGGTATAAGTTCTTTATATGTTTGCTAGAATTCCTCTGTGAAGCTGTCTGGTCCTGGACTTTTGTTTGCTGAGAGTTTTGTTGGTTTGGTTTGGTTTGGTTTGAAGATTCAATTTCACTTCACTTCTAGTGATCAGTCTGTTAGAATTGCCTGTTTATCCTTGACTCAGTCTTGGTAGGCTATATGTTTTTAGAAATTTGTCCTTTTCTTCTACATTGTCCAATTTGTTAGCATATAAATGTTCATAGTATTCTCTTAGGATTTTCTGTATCTCTGTGGTATCAGTTGTTATTTCTCCTTTCATATTTTATTTGGGTCCACTCTCTTTTCTTCTTGGTGAACCTGGCTAAAGGTTTATCAATTCTGTTTCTCTTTTCAAACCAGCTCTTCGTTTCATTGATCTTTTCTACTTTTTTTTTAAATCTCTTTTATTTCCTCTCCAATCTTTATTATTTCCTTCCTTCTGCTGACTTTGGGCTTTGTTTGTTCTTCTTCTATTTCCCTTAGGTGGTATGTTAGGTTGTTTGAGAGTTTTCTTATTCTCTGAGCAATGTCTGTATCACTATGAACTTTGCTCTCAGAACTGCTTTTGCTGCATCCCAGAGATTTTGGAAAATTGTGTTTTCATTTTCAGTTGGTCTTGAGGTATTTTCTGATTTCCTCTTTGAGTTCATCATTGACCCATTGGTTTTTTAGTAGCATATTGTTTAGTCTCCACATGTTTGTTGTTCTCTCATTTTTCTTTCTGTAGTTGATTTCTAGTTTCATACTATTGTGGTCAGGAAACATGCTTAATATAACTACTATCCTCTTAAGTTTGCTGAGGCTTGTTTTGTGACCTAGTATGTGATGTATCTTAGCAAATGTTCCATAGGCACTTTAAAAGAATGTGTATTCTGCTTTTTTTGGCTGTAGTGTCCTGTAGATATCAATTAAGTCCAACTGGTCTGCTGTGTCATTTAGGATCTCTACTGCCTTATTGATTTTCTATCTGCATGATCTGTCCATTGTTGTAAGTAGGGTGTTAAAGTACCCCCACTATTATTGGATTATTGTCAGTTTCTCCCTTTATGTCTGTTAGTATTTGCTTTATGTATTTAGGTGCTCCTGTATTGGGTGTATATGTTAATGAGTGTAATATCCTCTTCTTGTATTGATTCCTTTATCATTATATAATGCCCTTCTTTGTCTTTGTTTTAGCCTTTGTTTTAGTCTATTTTGTCTAATATGAGTATTGCTCCCCCCTGCTATCTTGTCGTTTCCATGAGAATGAAGTTTTTTTCCATCCACTCACTTTCACTCTGAATGTGACTTTTGCCCTGAAGTGAGTCTCGTGTAGGCAGCATATTGAAGGGTCTTGCTTTTTTATCCAGTAAGCCACCCCTTATCTTTTGATGGGAGCATTTAGTCCACTGACATTTAAGGTAATTATTGATCGGTATGTACTTATTGTCATTTTATTCCTTGTCTTCCAGTTGTTTTTGTAGTTCTTCTTTGTCCATTTCTTATTCTTTTTGTCTCTCCCATTGTGGTTTGATGCATTTCTTTAAAGTATACTTGAGTTCCTTTTTTTGGTCTTTGTGTATCTATTGTAGGCTTCTGATTTGTGATTACCATGGAGTTCATATATGTTGACCCATAATTATATATACTTGCTTTAAACTGATAATCATTTAAGTTCAAACACATTCTAAAAGACCTACATTTTTTACTCCTGATGTCATGTTTTATTTTTTTAACATCTTTATTGGAGTATAATTGCTTTACAATGGTGTGTTAGTTTCTGCTTTACAACAAAATGAATCAGTTATATATATACATATGTTCCCATATCTCTTCCCGCTTGCGTCTCCCTCCCTCCCACCCTCCCTATCCCACCCCTCCAGGTGGTCACAAAGCACCGAGCTAATCTCCCTGTGCTATGTGGCTGCTTCCTACTAGCTATCTACCTCATGTTTGGTAGTGTACATATGTCCATGCCTCTCTCTCGCTCTGTCACAGCTCACCCTTCCCCCGCCCCATATCCTCAAGTCCATTCTCTAGTAGGTCTGTGTCTTCATTCCTGTCTTACCCCTAGGTTCTTCCTGACATTTTTTTTTTCTTAAATTCCATATATATGTGTTACCATACGGTATTTGTCTTTCTCTTTCTGACTTACTTCACTCTGTATGACAGACTCTAGGTCTATCCACCTCATTATAAATAGCTCAATTTCG